AAATTATCAAACTATTCAAATTCGAAACTTTTAGGTCAAATCGTACCAACTATGATTCGAATTCAAACTATTCACAAACTTCTAGTCTCGATAAATCAAACTTACCTCCACTAGAATGTAGATAAATCTACCATACAGCCCATCTCTGATGTCCCTCTCCACATTCGGCCTGTTATTGGCTACATCGCACATCGCCAGAAGATTCAGAGGCCAGAAAAGGATGCCCAAACTAGCATAATGAAAGCCTATTCTGTCTCGCAGGTATAGATTCGATTCACTGGCGATATCCCAGAATATTGCACCAAGTAAAACACTGAGCGACGCGGAAATGACGATCTTCCGCAACAGCCTCGTCAACGTCCACGGTTGACTGTAGATGAGCGTTCGCAACAATAGCGCGTAGAATTGCACAAATATATTGGGACCGGACATCGAGGGCGGAAGTGCGCCCGGTGGTCCAGGATCACTGAGCGGGGGTAGCCTCGTTCTGGCCAGCTCCGCCAAATGATCTATCCTCTGCGAAGATTCCAGCATCGCTTCCGCCGACAAGTCATCCAGCGTTACTAAATCGACTAAAAAAACGGAAAAAAGAGAAGAAAAAATGATAAATAATAATTTTGTAATAAAAAATATGAATAATTGAATAGCAAAAAATGTAACAGGAAACATAATTTCCCAAAATAATTCTACGATCTTACGATCAAGAATATCGCTTTATTCAAGATCAAGATTTTCTTACGTACGATAATAATCGGACGGATTCTTGAAGGGCGGGCAGGGGAATTCGGCGAACGCGAAATATGGCAGCATGTCTCTTCTGGGCCCGGAGTACATGACTCGACCGCCGGAAGTAAGCGCGACCCTCGACACCATCGTTAGGATCTCGTAGGTGGGCGGATGCAGGGTCAGGACGACGAGACGCTGACCGCGGCTGGCCCATTGCCTTAGGTATTCCACGAGGAAGAAGGCGTCGAAGATGTCCAAACCGTGGATGGGTCTGTCCAAGGCGAGAATGTGCGAGTCCTGAAGCAGCCGGCAGGCGAGAGCCAGTCGTCGGGCCTCGGATGTTGTCAGGGTGTTGACCAGGCAGTGCTTGGTCGCCTCCAAGCCGAGCTCCTGCAGAATAGCCTCGGCCTCGAGCGTGGTGGTGTTGCGACCGCCTCTCAGCAACATGTAGAAGCTGAGAGTCTGCTGAGCCGTCAGTCCAGGAGTTAGGCCGCTCTCCGTGGGTAGATAGGCAACGCGAGATCTATTTTAATTAACAACTGAATAAATCATTCCGAAAAATATGACGTTTTAAACAAAGATTTCAAAGGAAATAATTTTAAATAAATTAAAATAAAGATTTTAAGGGAAATGATTTTATATTAATTATTTATAATTCATATGAAAATTATTTCCGGATATCTGAAAGCTTTGTAAACATAAGAAAGATTGTAATTATGATGATTTATATAATTTTATGAAATTGGAAAGATAATTATTCGATTTTACCCGGATATTTATACCCGGAAATCTAGATGATTCATATTAATAAAAGAGAAAAGTAAAATTGAGATAAAAAAATATTACTTTGTTTTATTCTCTATAACTGCATAATGAAAATTAATCGATACTTGTTTATACGAGATATGTCTTCTGGAATGTATGATGTAACTGAAGATTATTTCACCGGGAAAAAGTTATGGTCTGAGAGTTTTAAGTATGAGGCAATAATTAAGACGACAATTGAATTGAACCGATAATTGAATAACGAGCATCGCTCATTATTCACCTTATTATTCGACTTCACTCGAAAATTTCTATGCTAATGCACTCGCTAATAGTTACAGCCTACTAGTTATAGCCTGTTTCGCTAATGTCAGTTACCGTTAGTTAGTAGTTAACTAAATCTTCCTTTTCTGTTTGGATCATAGCCGGAGTTATGATCTAGAAAGAAACAGAGGATCGCTCGACCGAGTTGAAGCTGACTCGCGTTATTGAAACCGGCCGTGGATCTCTGTTCAATTACCTTTATCTCCATCTCACGTTGTTCATGTATCTGTCTCGGCTGTTTTTAAGAGTAAAATAAATTTTACAGAGCATTTAAAAACATTTGCGAAATTAACATCCGAATCGCACAACATATTTAACGGTTCACTGCCACGCTCGCAAGAAAGCGTAGGTGAAAAGATTAGAAAGTACCTCAGGCTGCGTGCCGATACGGATCTTCCATTGAGCAGAATATCGCCCCTTTTTATACGCCTCCTGCCCGCGATCGTCTCGATGATCTGCGTGCCTTCCTTCTCGGTAGTCGCCATAATGGCCAGCACTTCGGCGGCGCCGGCCTCGAGGGTGATACCACGAAGAAGCGGCAGCCCATCCGAGCCCGAAGCCTCCACGCCTCGCAGCTGTAGGTGAGGATGTTGCAGACACGGTATGGGTCTTATTGGCAGCGCGTAACCTTCCGGTCCCAGGATACCGTGTCCTGCAAAACAATTATGTATTAAAAACTACATAAACGTAGTACTATACGAAAAAAATAATTTTACCGACAAACCTAAAAATTCGGCCAGTTCTGAAAATAATTTTGTTGGGTCTTCAAAATTATTGACGTTCAAATTGGTTGTTACAAGATTAAAAATTGTTTGGAGTATTATTATTAGCGTTTAAGCGTCCTATATAATAATTTCAAATCCAACAAAATTATTTTTAGATTTTGTATTTGGTCAAATTTTTAGATTTGCCAGCAAAACTGTTTCTCTCCGTGTGCAAATTTTCTAAAAATTCTTTAAGAATTTAAAAATTCCAAGAAAGATTCAGATCAATGATAGTTTTCCGTGAAATCTTCATCAATTTAAAAGTGATTCCGAGTTTGTAATAGATAAAAGTTGTCATATTAAAAATATTCGTTTTGTTCATTTTTTTTTTTTTACCGTGTGCTATGTATCCGGGATCGATTGGCGCGATGCTGTGTCGCCGATTGGTCCTAACTGCACTCTGCAAGAGATTGGCCTCGCTGGCACTTCTCAGCCTCGGGTGATCCCTCGCGATAGTTAGCTGAGAATGCGCTGACTCCCTCGGGACAGCGTGGACGTGCCTAAAATCCGGGTCGCTTCTGGCTGAACGCATAATCGAAGTGGTATGCACTGGAGCACCTATGTATCAAAGAAAATTTTATACGTCGTACTATTGTAAAACGTAACACAAAATATCTTTAACTTTATACAACGAAATTAATTAAAATAATAAAAAAGTTTTAGAATAATTTAATAATCCAAGTATTGTAAGAATATATACATAGAAACACTCTTAATTGATTAAAAAATAAAATAATAATCAATCCGAAAATGTGATTAGGCAGAAAGAATTTGGCTATTGGAAATAAAAGTTTAGTCAGATACAGGACGTTAAAATATCAACAATTTTTGCAATCACATTTATGCATCCTACAGAATAATTTTAATGGCTTAATAAAATTATTTTCAGATCTGTAACCAAATCTTTAGACAACTTGAGAGAGATAAAGTTAAAAAAAAACGAGCACAAAGAATAACAAATTAATTAGCTTATATATTGAAACAAAAATCTTGAACGCTAATCGATAGTACATTTAATCTTAATAATTAACTTAGACGTTTTGGGTTGCACTGAGCCTTCTTCAGTAAGTAATTCAAATTTTCAGATACTCCAGCAGAGTCGTTCTTTCTGCGTAATCATCGCGTGTGTACCTGCGTGCGACACGCGTCGTCCTTCCTCGCTGGAGTCGTAGCCGCTGGATCCGTCGCGATTCCGCGAGCTGGGCGGCAGGACTCGCGGTAGACCGAACTTTAAGTACGTGTAAGAGTTGTTGGCCAACGGACTCTTGGGCCCGTACCGCGGATGCCGGAGTATGCTCTGCACCGTGGAGTCGCGCAGCTGGAAGTTCCCGTACGGCAGCGGCGACTTCTCGGCGGAGCCGAGCGCGGAGTCCGTGAAGTCGGAGTTCAGGTTTTGCCTGCGGAATCGCGGAAATACGTATATACACCCCCACGCCCGTCGACATTCCACCGTACTTAATATCCATTCTTTGTATACGGTAAGATGTTCTTCTTTCTTTTTTTTTTTTTTTTTTTTAATTAATTAAGTAAACGAGAGGGCCAATTAAAACGCGCTTATTTTCTATATCGTGTGTATAAACAATACGCCGAGTATTTCCGGAACTCAATTCACTCGTTCTTCCTCGACCACCGTTTACTAAAAAAAACGAAGAAAAAAGAGCGAGCTCAGGAAAATGATTTGAACGTTGAAAAGTATCTGCGTTTCCCGTTAATCGTTACATGCCACAGTCACGCACGCCTGATAATGTTCACTGACATTAATATTTTTAAGGATAATAATAATGACGCTACCGATATAATACATGAGACGGTACACGGTATGCGGTAAATCAACAAGTCCGATCGGCAATTCCTTTCACGTGACGAGCGGCAAAAAAGATGACACAGCATTCGCTTTGGCGTTCCGCCTCCGGCTGCGGCTGAGATTGGACGATGTACGGTCGCGGGGATGCGCGGATTACACGCTTGCACTTCAAGTACAAGTGTTCACCTGTAAATCGACCATGCGTGCAGATCCTCGCTGGCCGGCGGCTCCAGCCCCCTGGTGTCCAAAGCACCCGGCACCGAGTACCTCCTCTCCAGCTCCCAGGCCTCCGAGCCCATACTTTCCGGTGGCTGCACAGAGAGAGAGATTGCAGAGGCGACCGGTTAAATTCCCGCGAATTAATACGAGAACGTAACATCTCTCCTCTTATTTTAATTACAACGCTTTAGCGCCGCCGAGAAGGAAAGTGAGGGAAAGGAACGCTCTTTCTCTCTCTTATTCACTCGAGTTTCAGTTTCGAATTTTCGATCGGTTCGAGTCGATCGACTGAGGCGGCATTTTGTACTTTTTAAATAAAGAAAAATAAAAGAAGGTTGGCTCTTTTACGTGATATAGAAATGATGTAACCTCGGTTCACGTGAACATTTTATAGACAAAGAAGAATTTCTGCTGGAGAAGAGACTAGACCTACCGTGGAAAATCTTTAGAAATTCTAATGTTCTCTTCCGAGAGATCGAAAATATCACGGTAGACGTGCGCTTTCGGCAAACAAAATAAATTGCATTGGCAACTTTCGTGAACGTTTTTCTTGCACGAAAGACCCTCCGACACCCCCGGTATGAATTTATCGCCACCGCCGCCCTACAAGGATGTCCGCGCGGGATCGGATTTATTGCGCAACATGTCGGAGGCTGTTATTAAAGCGTACAAGAAGGAATTTCTTTCGCGTGTATCCCATCGTGTTATCTGCTCGACTCGTCCTGGAAAGTCTTACAAGGTACTTATTTAGGACCGACGATCTGACTTGTGAGCAAGCGATGAACAATTTCAAAGGCGCGCCGATTATATGCGGAATACCGATGTGGTTCTCAGCACCGTGACCGAGTATACAGCGTACATTCGTCAACGCGATTTCATGACAAATTTATGCCCATATCTTTAACCAACGACGAAAGTCAAGGAGCGCGAGAGAGAAAACTTTTATCCGATACGGCATTAAATAGAGATGTTCCCTCGATACGAAGTCGCGACAACGAAGGAACGAAAGGCCGATTGTAATCTACTATGGGGTAATCAGATTTATTTTTCTTATTTTCATCATCGTTATCCAAGAATATCCGAGCGTCATTTCGTTTCCTTTCTTAAAGTTACAACACAAGTTTATGCGCGACATATCTCTTCTCTTGGAGAATTTTGCTCCGGAGAACTCCGCTTGGAGAACTCCTTCTTGCGCTCTACCGACCCTTCGGATTGCCTTCCCACCGACCAGAAAACTGCAGGCGGTATTTCCCGTAGTTCCCGCCGGCGAACAAAGGGGGATGGCCTCGTCGAATTTTATCGCGATGCAGCAAATTGCTCTTGCCCGTGCTCGATCGTCCATAAAGAACGGAACGTGCAGACTGCGGGAACGTACAACACGCCGTGCAGTCACGACGCATACTTGCCTGCCCGCATTGTTAAGCATCTATAAATACCTATGGATTTTCACGTTTTTTTTTTTTTTGTATATTTAGAATAATTTCCTATCTCGCTATCTCGATCGTTGAAATACTTTTCGAGCGTATTCGCAGAACTGTACCCGGAGAATTTATTATTGCCCAGATATCGCGTCGTGATTCGAGATAAGATGTCGTTACGACGTTTTGAGTCTTTTAGCGTGCACGGTTCGTTTGAGTTTTACAAAGTGATCCGTGATTGATCGTGGCAAAAACCACGGTAGAGATAGTAATTGGCACGTATGCCGGAAATCACCGTCTGTGGCAGTAACGCGGCGTATAACAGTACGTTTATTGACGCAATTATGAAAAGCGGCACGGCGAAATGTCAGCTAGTTGCGTGTTACCCAAAGCGGGCTCTAAACACGACCGGGAAATCGACAACTGACCAGTTTCCGTATCTCGCCTTCCTCTCGAACCGGCGATCTCCGGTTCGAGCTCGCTTTTACGAGCCGCGAATCTGAATACCCGACCGTTTTACTTGCACAATCTCGCGCCGACCACGCGCACGTCGTAGGCGACACGACGGCTCGTTGTCAGATGTTGTTATATCACGGACTTTCTCCGTGTGCAAGGTCTTGCATCCTTAATTCGTCGGAATCATCTCGGAATCGCGTAACGTGAAGGTCTTCTCTTATCGCGCCGGGATATTACATGATTTTATGCAAAATACGCTTGAGAGAGAGTCGAATCGACGAATCAAACGCGCGTTTTTAAAAATAATTATTATTCTTAAACAACATCACAGCACGTAATTTTATTTCATGTCTCATTCTAAAAATTTTGTCACTTGACCTTATTTACATACGTGTATCTTATCCTTCTTCAGGATTATCTCGTATTAATCTTTGATCGCGTGATTTTTTTCTATTTTCTTTATTGTGATATTTCATAAAACTGACGTTTCTCAATTGTGCGTAAGATAAGCTCCGTTCGTTTTAATCTCACGCTCAATCGCCGTCGCCAATTACGGCTTTCTGTCGCTTAATTGTCGTTACTTAATTGCATTTCTTGCTCTCCGCGTTGCGGCCCGACGTCGTGCTCTACCGGATAGCCGTCGGAATCCCATCACCGTTAATCACGCTCGCATCGGAGCTGCAGCGCCGGAAAGGCGCTTCCACGGGGATAAATATCATCAATCGCTCGCATACAGCTCGTCGGAGACACGTGTACGTTTCTGCCTCGAGGGAAGCGAACGCAGCATCCCATTTAACGGTGGTGCTCGCGACCTAAAAACGCGCACGCAGCACCTGTTTCATTGCCATTGCCGCGGAATAGCTTTTAATGGCTTCCCATGGCGGACACGCTGTACCCTCGACACTTTGCACGAAATCTGGCTCGTAACAACCGGCTGTTCGAATCCGGCGCGCACTTTTTTCGAGAAAACATCCAGGATTGAGTGAGGGGTGAGTTCGATCTCACAACGGAATAATTAAGGGTTTCGATCATTGCAATCGCCGCGCTGAACCAAAATCTTGACGAACTATAATTTTTGCAAAGATCTGCAGAATCTGTAGAACAATTTTTTACTAGCAAATCTAAAAATCGGACATAGATCTGAAAATAATTTTGTTAGGCTTTCAAAATTATTATATACGATATTCAAATTGACTGAAAGATTAAAAATTTTACAATATTATTATTATTATTATTATTATTATACATATTTTATAGTATTATTATTATACTTCAATGTCCTACTAATCCTATATTCTTAGATAATTTTAATGGTCCAACAAAATTATTTTCAGATTTTCTATATCTGGTCAAATTTATATTCGCCAATAAAACACGTACTTCCGTATTTATGAGTGTAATCACATTCTGATAAATTTTAAAAAAGCAGCATAACAAAAAACAGAAACAACTCGATAAATTCGATTCGATGCAAGCAAAAGAAGAATCAGCGTCGTTAATCTTAAACGTCGTGAATTAATCTCCATTATTTTCCCATCGGAAAATAAATTTTATCGGATTCCCTGCGGATCGCCCTGATGAATTTCGGAGCAAACAGGTACTTGAAGATATCTCATACATTTCGCACGAGCGCGAATAAGTGCCGGATTATTGAAAAATGATTATGATTAAGATAATTAGGGGCGTCTCTCTTCCTGCTCTCACGAGGAAATCGACCTTGCTCTCGACGTGTGATGTAAGTCGAACGGCGTCGCACATTCGATTATATCGAAACACGCGAAAAGAAGAACGCGTAAACCATCTGCCTCGTTGCTTCGGCGCAACAACAGGTTTTAATTCGTCTTCAGTGTCAGTTTGCGGTATGCGTTCACATTTCCGAGTTCCACGTGAGTGCGAAAACGTATCGGGTGTCCGGCGAATACCTGTCAAGCACATTCATCGAATTGCAACTCTGCAAATGTGTGGATAAGCCGACACCACCGGTGTCATCCCGTTACTCAATAGCAGAAATATTTTTGCGTTACGAAATTAGATTTTATTTGGTAAAATTACACGAATATCTTAAAATTGAAAAATATTCATGAATAAAAATCTCCATGATTCGTTCATCTTATGCAAATTTCATGCGATTCTTTATGACTCAAGGCAAGAATCCGAAGATAGCGATCGAGTATATTATACCCGGTTTGTAGAATATTCTCTTGTACTATACTCTTGTAACAGGTGCGATTTGTTGGCACTTATGACGATTTAATATCGCGTCAGAGCAGATGTTACATTTACGTCGCCGAGTGGAATGCGTAGAATTACATAATCCGTTTTAGAAGAGCGCGAGCGGCTTAGAATCACACTTCGGATGATACATGAGGCACATTTCTAGTTACCAGATGCTGACGGAATGACAATTTTTTTTCTCCTTGTCCCGGAATTTCCCGTTATTACAAGTGACTCACCAGCGAGTCCCCTGTATGAAATTGAGCTGGCTCGGGTACAAGAACGTTCAGGCTGCGTTCTCCCGTGAGAATCAGCGAGATTGAAATCGCACACCATCTTATCAAAAAGAAGAATAATGCATCGTGGATCGCCAGCGCGTTGTTTGACGGAATTACGATGTGTTCCTTCCGTACAGAACGGGAATCAATTAATCTCTAGATAGAAAGCGCGCAACGTTAACTCAGCTGTAAATTTTTAACACCTATGGAAAAAAATACTTTTACTGGCAAATCTAAAAATTTAGCCAGATACAAATTCGAAAATAATAATTTTATTGAGTTTCCAAACTTATTATGTACAACGTTCAAATTGGTTGCTGGAAGATCAAAAATTTTTGCAATATTCTCATGCTTGAGTGTTGTGTAATTTTGAATTTTGACGATTCAAAAAAATTATTCTTCAAATTTCTATTTGAAATTTTGAAATTTTTACATTTGTCAGCAAAATCGTTCTCTCGGTGTATTTTTAATTTTTCTCTTTGCAGATGCGAGCGAGTAACAGAATCTTTTGTTCGCTCGCAAGGCGGACGTGAATAACGTGAATAGTTTTACTATTAGACAAATGCCGGATGATCGAGAATCAGAATGTTGTGTCATACGACGCCGTATGTGCGTTGAATTAATATATACGCACCCGCAAAAATAGCTGTGATATCCTCCGCGGTGTCGCGTCGTAATAGGGAACCTATGCGATGTAACACGTGTTCATTGGTTGAAGTCATCAACGGATCAACGGATCAGCGGATCGTCGCGATGAAACTCCTTGCGCTGTACGTTTGCAAACAGCTGACATTTTTAAGCTGACAAGAAATAACGGCATAGTCTATACGTTCGAGGCCCAGCCTCACTCGCAGTCAATTATATTTTCTTTACTTTTTCAAAGGTGCTTCACCGTTGACGTCCACCGTTAAATATGCAAAGTACCTTAAATATGCAAAGTACCTTTACTCGTTAAAATAATAATATATAAAGCAAGAAGGAAAATATAAAATATTATGTTATTCTGAATTTTTATACAAAAGTCTCCACTGAATATTTTAGATTTAGAGAATACGAATAATTTAATACACGAAAGCAAACTATAAAGACGTGTGAAAAAAAATAAAACGACGTAGAAGGAAATTATGTAATGCTAATAAAAAAAATTTCCATTCATTTACGAGGCTAGGAATTATATTTCTGGATGTGGCAACCTCTCGACGGTTAAAGTCGCGGGTTTACCTGGGTCTCCGTGTCATCGCAATAAGCGAGGAGATGTTCCTGCACATGAACCATACTTATCGTACCCGCATACGAAAGGAGAAAGAGCCCACGGGTTTGCAAGCACGATTGCGTCGACGTCTGCAATGACAATGGACGTGGTTCCCGCTGCACGTCAAGTAGTCCTTGCTCGGTCTCACGATCGTGCGTGGAATGATTTAACCCACGCGTTATTACGGATGCGAGACATCATTGACTAACACCTCTCATAAAGAGCATCTCGGAAAATAAGAGAGTCGTGAATTAGAAAAATCATTCTAATTAATCTGACGTTTCTAGGAAAGTTCTTCGCTATTTACGGCCCAATTTACATCGACCGTGTAACTTCTTTTTTCCGAAAAGTTTTTTTTTTAATTCGTACGAAGCGATCTTTTTTCTCTCTCGACCTATCGCGAGAGGATCTCTTCGGCGTAAATATTACGAATAATCGCGTGCTACGTGCCGGGATGCAAAGCCAGGGGGCTGTGTCGCGGGCGGTACTCTCCGCGTCCTTTTCAATCTACGTAATACGGTGATTTTTACGGCGACCGATAACCGCCTCTCGCGGGGCCCGGTTAACTGTTCATTTGCATATCCCGTTTCTGCAACAGTTGTATCGAGCGACGACCGCGTGCGTATTTTCGCGGTATGAATTCTCCATTATGATTTCTCCATTAAACGCGACTGCGACGTCGGCTTTTTGCCGGCTCTTGCACGCGCGCGCGCGCAACTAGATCTCGCTGTTTAGCGCAGCACAGAGATCACGAGAAGGAAAGTGCGGATGTGCGGCCGCGGCGATATATTCGTAAAGACCGCGGCGATGATACGCTCGGAAAAGCCGCGGGCTGTGCCCGCTGCATGTGCCTATTGCGCGCAGCTGAGCATGTCGAAAGCAGGCGGAAAGTGATGTCTAATGTCTCGCCGGACGTATATACGTACGCGATACCTGGAAAAATCGCCGGTCGCGTGATCGCTTTTACGGCGATCGCGAATCCGCATCGCGATTCTGAATCCGCGGTCACGGATGCTTAATGCGATTCAGGCGAACAAACGGTTGAAAATGAGAACGTTTGTCGCGCTCGGACGCGACGAGGATGAATAATTCTCGAGTAAAAAAGGCGATATAAACATATTTTCCGAAAGCGCGAATGCTCATCGAACGCGTTACGTCATAAAGGATATCTAACAAGGCGGAAAGAGAGCCGAGATTCCCTTAATTGAGAGTCTCTTCAGGCAACGAGAATGGGTAGACTCGTTTTTTTTTTTCGCGTGACAAATCGGATTTGTGGTTTACGTCAGACAGGTGAAAATTGAGAATCGTAACCGCGGAATGTCTCCACTTTATTTAGGAGTCTCTCGGCTCTCAGCACAAGCGGAAACAATATCTCGATTTCATGATCTCCAGAATCTACTGTGAGACTATCCCACGCACTGATTTCTATAGCTATGTGTGCACGCCAGTGAACCGTGCACACGCGTGTCCGTGTACCTAAATAAAACACACCATGGCCTGGATCGTACAGTGTTACAGCCATAATTATCCGTACACGCAACGCGCGGTGTTGGAAACCGTGATGGAAAGTCTACCGAAAACCGTCCCGCCGACCCATATAACGCGTGTACCTCAAACGATTTGAAGTGCACGCTCATAGCTATAATTATCTCGATTAATTAAACACCGAGTAATCTAAGATATTTAAGAGAAAGAATTCATGTCCGCATATCTTATTTCCTTAACTTAACGTTTTTCAACAAGAGAAACAAGGTTGAGCGGAAAAAAAAATCAGTTTAATTAGTAACTGATAAAATAAAATTAATTAAAAATGTTTTCACGAGCAAGATCGAGAAGATGATTAAAAGAAACGCGATCCAGACGCGCGATAAAGACGCCTTAATACAGTTAATATTACCTATTTGCGTGTTTTATTAATTAAGTGAAATGTAGGTTGAGGGTATTTCTCGTTACATACCCTCTCGCGGGCAATCAATCGTGACGTTCAATCATAATAAAATTAGACAGCGATTGAATGCCGATAGAGTACTTTTACTACTTCATTATAAGCGATGATGGGCATTCATCGGAGGCCGTAAAATCTCATCGGAGAACGCGGGATATAAGCGAGGTCAGCTGTTGGACTTTTCAATATTCCACCGAGGCAATCACGAGCGCCCCTTCCCCCTTCCCCCTTCCCCCTTTCCTCTTCCGCCGCCCGCGGATGAGGGAGGACGAAAAGAGAGGAGGATCCAATTGAAGTCGCAAATCATTCGAATCGTTCCGTGCGAGGAAGCGTTCCTATGCGCTCGTTAAAGTCTCCGGCGTGACTTCACGGTTCCGCACGGGTGGCCCGTGCGTCGTTGCGCACGCCGTTACTAAAATCGCGGCAACTCGCGATACGATTATGCATTTGACCGAAGTCCGATCGAAGTGAACGGATTGACGAGGACTGAACCCTCACCTTTCCGCCTCGCTGTTGGCGAGTCTTGCATACTGCATAATGTGGAAATGCGCGAAGGAAGTAACGGGTCGCTTTTGCTTTTTATCAATGGAAGGAAACGTATCTTGAGAAATAGACGTGGATAAAGATAGATTCTGTGAGAGAGGGAGAAACAGTCACCGAAGACTTTGCCCTTGCTTGCGGATGTTGAAGTTAATAGCTCGAACTAGCACAGTGGACATTTAAATGCGCAGTGCGTAAATATGTAATTAATTAATGTAATTAATGTAGAAGTTAGAAAGATACTTGGAAATGGAATTCCTCGAAATTTGTATTGAGAAAAAATAAATATTCTGGTTTTGCGGAGGAATCTGGGTCGAAAGGATATCCGGTGGTTCCTGTGGTGTATTGCTTAGTATTGCTCAAATCGGTACTCTTAAGCTGAAATACAACCTGTTATTACATTTCTAGCGAAATCTGAAAGAAAGAGAGCTCTTAAGCAACATTTCTCTATTAACGACATAAATCGGACGCTTTCAACGTTTATAGTTAATCGAGTAATAATCCGCCCACTCAGGAAAGTAAAGCATTATCCTCGTAATGTAATATGAGTGGAAATGGCGATTTCGCATACATGATAGAAAACTGTGCTACCGCACTTTGTGACGAAATGCAACATGATGAGTGATGTCGTTTCGCAATATAAAATATTTTACTTTGCGATAAAAATTATTTATGCGGCACTAAAACATGAAGAGAAAAAGCTACTGCTTTTGGTAATAAAAGGTAGACTGTTTTGTTAATAAAACTAACATAAAAGAGAATGATAATTTCATCAATAATAATAAAGCTAAATTTGTTTATTATTATTATTATTATTATTATTATTTTACACTTTCTTCATATCAATTCAAGAGTAAATTGAATAACTTTATTAACAATTCCTTCAATAATGTAAGAAAATGAGGAAATGCATGCACAATTGTGTCCCTTTTTTGGTCGCATCTTGAAAATCGCTTGTCAATGGGTCGTGTGTTTTCCCTCCTCGAGAAGAAAATACATATGGAACGGTTTAACGCGACGGTATGCGAGCTTTTAATTCACGGTTCAATGACAGGGAACCTGATTTTGCATAACAAGAAAGGCTCGCCGGTGAAAGCAACAGGTGATTAACAACCCCGTCGTTACTACTTTTTTCGAAGGCAGCCGATCCGCTCTATAGATTCCGGAGAATTTTAGAATGCGTTTTCGTTTCGGAAAGCATCGTGACATTTTCCAACGTACATAATCGGAAACGAGAGATACTTGTCACGTGCAAATAATTCCTCCATCCTTGACTAATTATACCGTTACATCGAAAAAAATACGCCTTCGAAGAGTTTTAAATATAAAGTGAAGGCATAAAGAAATAGTTCCACACCAGTTCGCAGATAAATATCAAAAGAACAAATTTAATAAAAAGAGGAAATAAAAGAGGAAACATGCAAGTTAATTTTACAAATTACGTTATGTCAAAAATAAAATCCAAGAAGAACAAAAATGCAATTGTATTCTTCGACAGTAGCATAAAGAAGATTTGTCTTACGAAAGGTCAAGGTTTCAACCCCTAAATATTTCCATTTCGCGGAAATCCATCAAGTTTAATATTATCTCGGGTAGATGAGCTTTCGCAAACGAAAAATCACGAAACACGCGTGAATGCGACTCGGCGCCGAGTCGAGGATGAGAAGAGGAGAAATAGGAAGAGAAAAAAGAAAGGAAGAGAGAGAGAGAGAGAGAGAGAGAGAGAGAGAGAGAGAGAGAGAGAGAGAGAGAGAGAGAGAGAGAGAGAGAGAG